TCTAAGCCTATAGCAGCATAACTATAGAGATAGCTCAGGATAACCTGAGCCACTCTAACTATAAGCTTTATCAAAAAGGAAAGTTTTAAGCCTACACTTAAAAGTAGACAGGTTGTCTGCCTCAAGTACTAAAACTGGTAGTTGGTTCCACAGGAGAGGAGCCTGATAACTAAAAGATCTGTCTCCCAATCTACTTTTCAAAACACAGGACAACCAAATCCTTTAAGAAGTCACCTAATCAGTAAATAGATTCAAACTGTGCATCATCTCCTCTCAGCTGTTCTGTTAACTCCTCAGAGGTTCGTTAGAGAACATTAGCAAACAAACAGCATCACAAAGACCAATGACCACAGCAGAGGGGTCAAGGTAAGGACGAAGAGAAGTATAAATCATCTTTAGGTTATCATATTATTGCAGCCTTTGTGTATATATACTACACATCTTTGTTTACTGAATCCTCCCAAAGTGAAAAAAAAATGTGACAAATATTCAAATTTAGCAAGACAACGCTGTCTAGAGGAAACAAAAAAGGGGCCATAGAGAAATCATCAAAGAAACAACTAAGAGGTCCTTGATAACTCTGCAGGACCTGCAGAAACGAATGGCTCAGGTAGGAAAATTGTACACAGGATAACGAAGGGGTATGCAGATTTTACAAATAAATCCTAAATTTGGAAACTATTGAAATAAAGCCTTCAGAAGTCCTGTTCGTTTTATAGATGACATGAGGAGAGAGGCTCTCTGGTTAGATCTGAAGAAATTATTGCAGAATAGTGCTGCAGAAAACTAGAAGCACACACCACCGTTATATGCCTAGCCCATGGTGAAACAGGGTGGCAGCAGCATCATGGCCACCTATATGAATTTGATAGGAAGAAAGGCGAAAAGATGGACAGGGTAGTCCATTTAAAAAACATTTAGAGTTTGTGACTGTACTGTGAACAAACAGACAATATTAATATTTCTCATTTCTCCAGCCAGGAAACAACATCATAAATAAATAAGACGCCTTCTTATCCACTGTATTTCTTAAACAGCTTTTTAGAAACTACCTCTCAAAGGTGCAGAGGTTGCATAGCACAAAATATAAAAACCTTTGAGAGGATAGCATTTTCTAATTGTGATATGCAAAATGCATTAAGTTTCTCACTGGGTTTAATTCAAGGGAGCACGTAGAAAGCCCTAACATACCTTAACTGCCTTGATTCTGACGTCATAGAGGATCAGAGTACTTCTCCAAGACTACGAAAATATACACTCAACTAGCACAGAGAGCAATATAAAAATAATAATTATTTCATGTTTCAAACTTTAACCACAACATTATTTTCATAAGTCGTTTCCTTTTCAACGCTGCCCTTACATCCCGTCCCCTCTGTCTCAGAGTAGTTGTCATTGACTCTAAGGAAG